CGAGGCATCGTTGGAGGCTTTGGACTCTTTCTTGGGCAGGACACAAGTCCTTCTCACCAAAGGGCTGCGCGTTCAGACCGCATTCGCGTTGCTGCGTACCTTTGTGGGCGGGGCCAACAGCCACCTGCTCAGAGGGTCTTTTGCGAACGAAGCCTGCTGCGCGGAGTACGACCGCCGAGTTGTTGCCTTCCCCGAGCAGCTTCTCAGCGCCCAGCTCGCCCCGCGCCAGCAGCAGCAGCTGTGGCTGCCGTGCCGGGGCGGAAACCCGGGGCTCCAGTCCGCTCGCTTGACCCGGAGTGCTGCGTACATCACCTCCTGGCAACAGTGCCTCTCAGACGTCGCCGCGGCTCGGGGGCTGCTCTCGGCGGGCGCTCTCCTCGCCCGGGCGCCACGCACGGGCGCTGCCCTGACGGTCACGGGGGACGAGCTCCGTCGTCTCGGATGCCACGACTATCAGGCCGCTTGGGCGGCTTGTTTCGTTTCCAGTCGCGTGAAGCAGCAGAAGACGCTGATGATTCACGTCAGCACGGAGTGCTGGAAGACTTTGCTGCAAGACCTCGACGACTCAGGTCGCGCCGACTTGCGGTCTGCGGGCGACAAGGGCGGTGCTTTCCTGCTGCCGCCTACCGACAAGAGCCACCTGGTGCCGGATGAGCACTTCCTCGTGGCCTTGCGCCTGCGGCTGCAGATGTTGCGCCCCGGAGCTCTGCGCACCCGCCCGCCCGCCAGCACGTGCGGGCACAGGTCGTCGCAGCTAGGGCAAAGGTGTGATTGCGGCATGGACGACCGGGGGCATCATGCTCTGACGTGTGAAGTCGGCGGCGGAGTTGTGCGGAGGCATGATAGGATTCGCGATTGGTTGGCGGCGTGGATCGCTGCCGTCACGGGGGGCCCAGTGCTCACCGAGCTGTTCGTTCCGAAGTGGGACCGACGAGTGGAGGTGGACGGGGACGAGCAGACTGAACGCGCACGCTTGGACGTTGTTTTTAATGACCAGAACGCCCAACGCGCATACATCCACGTCTGCATCCCCACTGCGTTTTCCACTTGTCCTGAACTGCTCCGGGCGCGGGTGGCGCGGGATGGCGCGGCGGCAGCGCGGGCCGAGGATGGCAAGCGCCTGCGGTACAAAGGGCCGGACCTAGTTCCGTTTGCCGTAGAAACCCTTGGCCGACCAGGCGCCGACGCCATTGCCCTCCTCCGCGCGTGATCGCCAGAGGACCCTTCTGAGCGGTCGCAAGTTCTGGGCTCCGCTTGGCAGTCGTTGTCCGCGTTGCTGCAGACCCAGAACGCAGAGCTTTTGATGGCCGCCGAATCGGCTTGATGCGTCGCCGTTTGTTGCTCAAGCTGTCCTTCCCCTTCCCTTTCCCTCCTCCTCCTCCACCGCGTCCTTCTCCGAGTCCTTCTCCTCCTTCTCCTCGCTCCTCCGTGGTCGTTTTGGCTGCTCTTTCCTCCGTAGTCGTTCTGGCTGCCAGTGCCGCCCCTGTGCCTTTTCACTCGCTTCTCTCCCTCCCTCCCCTCTCCTCTCCTGCTCCTTGCCTCCAGCGGATGTGCGGGGCGCCTAACGGTGTGGTTCGGTGGCGCACGCCACACGGCCGCGGCCCCGTCTCCTCCGTCTCCTGGTCCCTCCTGACTCCCTCTCCCTCTCCCCTCTGCCTCGCCGCTGCTGCTTTTTAGGGGTGTGCCCTGTCGCTAGCGCCTGGGAGGAGTGGCGCCCTCCACCGCGGGTGCTGAGAAACATTCTGGATGGGCACACCCCTTCCTTGTTCGAGCGTTTGCTTCTGCTGCCTCTCGCCCGCGTGTCTCGCTCGGGGCCTTTCTGTCCCTCGCGGGTGCTGCTTCAGGCTTGTTCCCAAGATCTGGCGGGGCCCCGGATGAGAGCTGCGTCGGCTGCGCACGGCGAATTTTTTTCTGGGCCGGCTTCAACACGGGGCCGGCCCGCGGTGGCGTGAAAGACGTGGACTGGGTCGCTGCAGGCAGCCCCAGCAGAGCCGCCGGGTCCTCCATGGCCGCGGGCGGCGAGAGGGAGGAGGAGGAGGAGCAGAAGGAGGAGGAGGAGGAGGAGGGAGGAGGAGGAGGAGCAGGAGGAGGAGGAGGAGGAGGAGGGGGGAGGAGGAGGAGGAGGAGGAGGAGGAGGGGAGGAGGAGGAGGAGGAGGAGGAGGAGGGAGGAGGAGGAGGAGAAGAGGAGGAGGAGGAGGAGAGGAGGAGGAGAGGAGGAGGAGTAGGAGGGGAGGAGGAGGAGGAGGAGGAGGAGGAGGGAGGAGGGAGGAGGAGGGAGGAGGAGGGAGGAGGAGGGAGGAGGAGGGAGGGTGGAGGAGGTGGAGGAGGAGGAGGAGGAGGAGGAGGAGGAGGAGGAGGAGGAGGAGGAGGAGGAGGAGGAGGAGGAGGGAGGGCGGAGGAGGAGTCTGGGCGCAAGGTTCGCCCAGCGCCTCGGCCCAGGGTCCGCCAGTGTGCCCCTGCGGGCCGCGCTCCGCTGGCTCCAGGACCTCCGCCGCGAGCCTGGGGAGGAGACGGCGGCACGCGTCGCGAAGTGCCGATCCCCGGCGTGGGCCCCCGGCTTCCCAGACCCCCTCGCGCTTTTGGAAAAAATCACGACGGGGGGACGAGGAGGAGAAGGAGGAGGAGGAGGAGGAGGACGAGGAGGACGAGAAGTACGAGAAGGAGGAGGAGGAGGCGGAGGAGGCGGAGCAGGAGGAGGAGCAGGAGGAGGAGCAGGAGGAGGAGGAGGAGGAGGAGGAGGAGGAGGAGGAGGAGGAGGAGGAGGAAGACCCAGACATGGTCGCGTTTTTCACTGCTTTCGGCCTCCAAAGGCCCTCACCGGGCCCCTCGGGACGAGAAGCTGGTCCCGGGGCAGGGGTCCAGACCTCGGGGGGTCGACGTTGTGAACAAATCACGACGTCGGGGGTCTGGGAAGATGGGGTCCAGAGGTACCCAGACCTCCTCGAGTCATGAAAAAATCACGACGGGAGGTTTTCCGCTCTTTTCGGCCTCTGAGGGCCCTTACCGGGCCTCGGGACCGTCAAAAAACGACTCGGGATGAAAAACCGGTCCCGGGGAATGGGTCTGGACCTCTGGGGGTCGCGTCATGAAAAAATCATGACGCCGGGGGTCTGGGTATGAGGTACCGAGGACGCGGAGCCTCAAGCCATGTACATCCATCCTGGGTCCCTTCCGATGCTTAGGTTTGCGTTGCTCCCATCGTGCTTAGGGGCCACATCCCACTAATTTCGAGCACCCAGAGCAGGATCGAAACAGTATTTGCCCGACACGCTAGCGAAATGTCGAACGAGTATCGCCTCCTGGGGCCCGACGCGTGACCCCCCCCCGGTTCCGGTACTGTCTTGGTGCTCGAAATCCTTTCTGGCGGTCAAGGCCAAAGACGGTTGGAACATCATAACCCCTGCTGGGCCCAGGATTGGCCTGGCCGGGAGCAGTGGATATGCATAGATCTCGTCGCCCTAGAGGCAGTGCTGTCACCTGCGGGTTCTGCTTGTCTGTCGTGAGGAGCCGGGCCTGCGCGGCGGTCTGGCGGCGCCGTGGGCGCCGTCGCCGCCCCGTCGCCGCCTCGTCGCCGCCCGTCGTCTGGGCCTGCGCGGCGGTCTGGCGGCTCCGTGGTCCTCTGAAGCCTCTGGGCCCTTCCGAGAAGGCCCCTGCCTCCCAAGAAACGCGCCGCCTTCTCAGAAGGCGCACCCCCCCCGCGCCGCCCCCTCGTGTCGGTGGTTCAGAGATGGGGTCCCCAGGGATGAGGGCTTCTTCTTCCTCCTCCTCCTCCTTCTCCTCCTCCTCTTCCTCCGTCTCCCCCTCCTCCTCTTCTCGTCCTCCGCCCCCGCTCCGAGGGGGGCGAGTGGAGACAATTACCCTGTGACGTACCCAACCCTTTCTATACATGTGGCGGTTGTACTCAGGACCACTCAATGCTGACTGGCATTCTGAAGGACCCACAGAGAGCAAGAAGAGCACCCACCAGTGATTTCAGAAGAGCGCAACAAAAAGTCCCGTGGCGATCCGCGTATGACGTACCTCCGCTGAGCCTCCAAAGAGCCCACGAAAATGGCGACTGTTGCGCAGATCGCAACCCCACAGGGGCGGCGAGGTCCCGTGGTGATCCGCGTATGACGTACCTCCGCTGGGCCTCCCAGGAGCCCACGCAAGTGGCGACTGTCGGCGACAATTGCGCAGATCGCAGCCCCACAGGGGCGGCGAGGTCCTGTGGCGATCCGCGTATGACGTACCTCCGCTGGGCCTCCCAAGACCCCACGAAAATGACGACAATTGCGCAGATCGCAACCCTCCAGGGGCGGCGAGGTCCCGTGGTGATCTGCGTATGACGTACCTCCGCTGGGCCTCCCAGGAGCCCACGAAAGTGGCGACTGTTGAGCAGATCGCAGCCCCCCAAAGGCGGCGAGGTCCCGTGGCGATCCGCGTATGACGTACCTCCGTTGGGCCTCCCAGGAACCCACGAAAAAAGGGCGACAATTGCGCAGATCGCAGCCCCACAGGGGCGGGGAGGTCCCGTGGCGATCTGCGTATGACGTGCCTCCGCTGTGCCTCCCAGGAGCCCATGAAAAAAGGGCGACGGCTGCACAAATCGCAACCCTCCAGGGGCGGCGAGGTCCCGTGGTGATCCGCGTATGACGTGCCTCCGCTGGGCCTCCCAAGAGCCCACGAAAGTGGCGACAATTGCGCAAATCGCAGCCCCCAGGGGCGGCGAGGTCCCGTGGTGATCCGCGTATGACGTACCTCCGCTGGGCCTCCCAGGTACCCACGAAAGTGGCGACTGTTGCGCAGATCGCAGCCCCCCAAAGGCGGGGCGGCGAGGTCCCGTGGTGATCCGCGTATGACGTACCTCCGCTGGGCCTCCCAAGAGCCCACGAAAGTGGCGACTGTTGCGCAGATCGCAGCCCCCCAAAGGCGGGGCGGCGAGGTCCCGTGGTGATCCGCGTATGACGTACCTCCGCTGGGCCTCCCAGGAGCCCACGAAGTGGTGACAATTGCGCATATCGCAGCCCCCCAAAGGCGGGGCGGCGAGGTCCTGTGGTCATCCGCGTATGACGTACCTCCGCTGGGCCTCCCAAGACCCCACGGAAAAAAGGCGACCATTGCACAGATCGCAGCCCTCCAAAGGCGGGGCGACGAGGTCCCATGGTGATCTGCGTTTGACGTACCTCCGCTGGGCTTCCCAGGGGCCCACGAACGTGGCGACAGTTGCGCAGATCGCAACCCGACGGCACGAGAGAAGAGGGAAGGGAAACACAGGAAACAGGAGAGGAGGAGGGGAGGAGAGGGGATGAGGAGCGGAGGAGGAGGAGGAGGAGACCACACTGCTCTATTCAAAACGAGTACCCAACACAGGAGGGTTGGGAAGAAGGCTAGAAGACCACTGGGTGAAGAATGGGGCAGCGGCAGCAATAAGCAATCCAGAGTGGACACAAGCAAGCTGCCCACGCCAATAAGCGCGATCCCAGTGGCCGTGGGGTCAGGTCAGGTCAGAGGCAGCATGCGCCGGAGCGCGCCCTGCGCAGGCTGCTGCGCGCGCGGTTCCCACTTTCTTGATGATTCTCTCACGCCCCATTCTTGAAGGTTCCCACACCCAGGCTTCTCGATGATTCTCGCACGCGCCAGACAAGAAATAGCAGACAAGATCCAGTCAGTCCATCGTTTCAACGGCCTTCCAATAGATCTGCAACCGGAAGGGGCCCATCGCAACGCAACCTGCCCCCATCTGTGGTCACTGCATGACTGTAGCTTACGATATAAGTTGGCTTTCCTCTCGCTCTGCGAGTGCAGCCACGTAGGCAATCCGGATTTCGAGTATGCCTCCTCTGCCCGTTGAGTAGCTCTCACAATCCAATCAACATCTGATTCATGTTCCAGTCGCCGCGCGCCCACAATTTTCCGAAGCATCTTCCGCATTGTTGCGTTGAGGCGCCGCTGCCATACAGCACCGTAGACGACACGACAGCGTCGAATAGCCTCAATCTGGAATGTAAAAGATAATGCCGATTACACAATTCGGATCTGAACTTTCCGAAAGCAGCCCACCCTCTCGAGATCCTGCGGTTGATTTCCACATCGTGGAACTCACTGAAAGTTAATTTCCTCCCTAGGTACTTCATGCTGTCGTTGAACTCTTAGACTTCGACCCGCCCGTCTCCGACTTCAAAGTCTTTCTGACGCAACACTCCCCGGCGGTCTGCCTCGTTAGACAGGATCTTCGTCTTGCCCATGTGTAGCTGCAAACCGGCACTGCGCGCCCTCTCGTTCAAGCCGGACAACATTCGTCGCACCTGCGCCCTGCTGGTCCCAAGCAAGAGAATGTCGTCTGCGAGCCTCAAGTTGGTCAAATAATGTGAACCAAGTTTGAGTCCAAGCCTCTCTTGCCGCCATTTACTCTTGAGGTCCCGCATGATTGTCTCCAGAACTGCGTTGAATGTAGCTGATGGCATTGGGTCGCCCTGCTTCGCGCCTCTCTCAAGCTTGAACACGCGGCCCTCTCGATCAGATGCCGCCTGGCCTGTTTGTCCTGCGCGCAGCCGGCGCAACACTTGCACGTATGTCTCCGGAACCCCTTGCTGGCGCAGAGAATGCCAGATAGCAGAATGGCCCACGGTGTCGAATGCTTTTTCGAAGTCAACGGCAGCGACGCAAAGCTTCAAATTGCACTCCCTGGCCTTCTCGTGGACGAGCGTAAAGGTTACAAAATGATCATCGCACCCGAAGCCCTTGCGAAACCCAGCCTGGTCCACAGACAGCTTTGCGTCGAGAATTTTCGCGAGTCGCCCGTTCAGCACCATGGCGAAGAGCTTATGCAATAGGGGAAGAATGGAAATTGGACGGTAATTTCCAGGAAGCTTAGGATCCCCTTTCTTGAAGATCACCTTGACGCAGGTGTGTCTCCACGACCCTGGTGGCTCATCTCCGCACGCAAGGATACCCGTGAACATGTTGGCTAACACTTCTTTGAGATACGGCCCGCCAGCTTTGAACATGTCAGCCGCCGCGCCAGTCCGATCTGCAGCTTTGCCCCTTTTCAAGCGTCTGACGTGCTCCTCTAATTCTTCAACTGTAACTGACGGTATATCAGCTGTCACTCCAGTGCAGCCTCTCCCTTGACTTGTAGAGCTCCTCGTAGAACGTGCCAAAAACATCGACGATGCCTTGTCTGTCCGAGCACGGGTTCCCCGAGTCGTCCACGACGCTGGTCAGCCGCTGCTTTTTTTTTTTTTTTTTTTTTTTTTTTTTTTTTTTTTTTTTTTTTTTTTTTTTTTTTTTTTTTTTTTTTTTTTTTTTTTTTTAAAAAAAAAAAAAAAAAAAAAAAAAAAAAAAAAAATGTTGTGGATATCGTGGATGCGGCCGATGCTCTTGAAATTCTGCAATATTACATCAATGCGTTCTGCGTTTCGCTCTCGTTCCCATTTTCTTAATTCACGTTGCATCTCTTTACTGATAACTTTTGCGGGCCTTCGCCCTGCCTCTCCGGCCCAGGAAGACCGTCTTTC